AGTACGTGAATGAATGAATACTACATTCGAAAGAAAGCGATTTTGATGATAAAATGACTAAAAAATGTTTAAAAGAATTGAAAATCAACATCTATATCAAAGACGAAGAATATTTTATTTTTGATGATAAAATGACTAAAAAATGTTTAGATTATATATTTAAAAAAAAAATCATCTAATAGTTTCTAATATATATATAATTAAAAAATCATCTATAGTTTCTATTATTTTTGATTATTAGCTAAATTAAAGACGAAGAATCCCGATTTATGAACAGGTCGGTTTGACGTAAGGTTTGATTACCAATTCGCGGCAAAAAACCAAAAACTTTGATATGAACAAACTCTCCGAGAAAATCCCGACCTCGAAGTATTCCAAATCAAACGCTCTGAATCTCTCTCAGTTCATCCCACACTACACCCGAAATCATTCCTCAGAAACAATCCCTTTCCTTGCATTGACAATCTCTCTCGAGTTTCCCCTCTTCTTCCCCAAGAAAAGCATCTTAATCTTCTTCTATATCTCTCCGTCCATGTCTCAATCAATCCCCCATTTCTCTACACTCTCCAATGGCCGCCCAACAACCTACAGTCTTCACCCCGGTGACCTTCTCCAAGTACTCCAAGCGGGTTCTTCTCAAAACTGTGTTCGAGAGTGGCGATGGCGGTCTGGGGTTTGTGGATCGGAAATTGGTGGTCGGAGGATGGGTGAAGTCCTCCAAGGAAGTCATTGGAGATGCTGTTCGGCCGCTGGTCGATGCCAGTGTTAAGGCGGCGGGTGATGTCCTGCCGCTGAAGGCTAAGGATGCGAGCTGTATTGAGATTGTACAGTCGCGGATTCCGATTGTTAGGTCTTTGCTTAGGATGCTGTATGGAAATCATTTACACGGCGGTGAGAAGTTGGAGACGAATGTTCATGAGCCGCCGCTTCCTTCCACTGCTTTTCTGGTCGTTAATGATGGCTCTTGTGTTGCAGACCTTCAGGTTCCTCTAATTTATGCACGCCAACTGTTTGTTGTTTTGTTATGCGTACAGGACTTGGCTAACTAAGAAACTTTCAGGTTGTTGTCGAGTCCTCGTTGCATCAGCCTATCCATCTGATGCCATCGGGAACTTGCATTTTGGTGGAAGGCATATTGAAGCGGATACCAGTACCTGGGAAACATACTGTCCGGCTTGAAGTGGAGAAAATCCTTCATGTAGGGAAGGTTGAAAAGGAAAAGTATCCATTATCACAGACAAGGATTCCAATGGATGTTTTGAGGAATTTTTCTTATTTTCGTCCTCGAATTACTACGGTAATATGCTCAAGCTTCAATTATACATTGCATTTAGTTCCTGTTTTTTGGTTCTGTCTGCATGCCTATCATCAGAGCGCCTATTAGTCTTCAACATCGGTTGGAGAGGGAAACGAGCCTATTAGTCTTAAGATCGACATTGGTTAGAGAGGAAAACGAAGCATTCTTTATAAAGGTGTGGAAACCTCTCCCTAGCATATGTGTTTTAAAAACTTTGAGGGAAAACCTAAAAGGGAAATTCCAAATAAGACAATATCTGCTAGCGGTGGGCTTGGGCTGTGTGCCAGTGAGGATGCTAGCCTCAAAAGGGGTGGACATTGGTTAGAGAGGAAAACGAAGCATTCTTTATAAAGGTGTGGAAACCTCTCCCTAGCATATGTGTTTTAAAAACTTTGAGGGAAAACCTAAAAGGGAAATTCCAAAGAAGAGCGGTGGGCTTGGGCTGTGTGTCAGTGAGGATGCTAGCCTCAAAAGGGGTGGACACTAGGCTGTGTGTCAGTAAGGACACTGGGCCTCGAAAGGGGTGAATTGTTAGATCCCACATCAAGGAGAGAGAAATGCATGCCAGCGAGGACGTGGGGCCTCGAAAGGGGTGGATTGAGATCCTACATCGGTTGGAGAGGGGAATGAACATTCTTTATATGGGCGTGGAAACCTCTCTTTAGCAAACGCATTTTAAAAACCTTGAGGGGAAGCCTGAAAAGGAAAGCCGAAAGAGGATAATATCTGCTAGCGGTGGTCTTGGCTATTGCAACGGTAATATGCACAAGCTTCACTATACATTGCCAATGAAGATGTATTCTTACTTATAAACCCATAATCATCCCTTTATTTACCAACATGGGACTCCCTCCCAAAAATCCTCAACAGAGCTCGGCTGACAAATCGTGAGAAGAGAGTTTTGTACATTTGATCAGAATTATTGGATCTTGATCTTCATTGGTACTCTTTACTTTATGCAGGTAGCATCTGTTATGAGAATTCGTAATGCCTTGACTTTTGCAACTCACACGTTCTTCCAAAATCATAGCTTTCTTTACGTGCAATTACCCACTATCACGACCACTGACAGTGAGGGATTCAGTGAAAAGTTCCACGTTACAACACTTGCGACTAAATTAGCAGGTAAGAAAATAGAACCGACAGAAGATAAAGAAACTGATGGTGTAAGTCTTGAAACTGTTAAGGCTGCTGTAATGGAGAAAAGCAATCTCGTCAAAGAGCTTGAGAGAAGCGAAGGCAACAAAGAAGCCTTAGCTGCTGCAGTTCAGGATTTAAAGAGAACAAATGAACTGGCATTACAATTAGAAGCCAGAGGGAAATCAAAACCCGAATCGAGGAAAGATGAAGTTAACTTTCATGAAAATTTCCTCCCACAAGAAACTTATCTAGCAGTTTCTGGACAACTCCATTTGGAGACCTATGCGTGTGCCCTTGGCAATGTTTATTCGTGTGGACCGAGGTTTCGAGTAGATAAAATTGAGTCTGCAAAACATGCAGCTGAAATGTGGATGGTGGAAGTTGAAATTGCTTTTGCTGAACTCGAGGTACGAATTTATGATCTTTTTACTTATTCCTTCAGATTACTTATTATTTGACATCTAAAATTATGGATTTAAGTTTCCATGTTGATTTAGCCATTAAAATCTTAATGTTATTTTCTGTGATTAGCGGTTGTTTATAATATCATTGCACCACTGATTGAAGAAGTTTCATCTTTTAACTTACATTTTGTATCATCATTGGGACTCTAGGATGCCATGAACTGTGCTGATGACCTTGTAAAATTCCTCTCCAAATGGGTATTGGACCACTGTGTGGATGATATGAAATTTGTTGAAAAACGAATCGACAAGACGAGCATTCAACGCCTTGAATCGTTTAAATCTTGTTCGTTCGAGAAGGTCTCTTACACTGCGGCAATAGAAAGTCTGGAAAAGGTGAAATCCTGATTATCTACACTTGTATCATTTGGCTCAGTTTTTCATTTCTACCCCTGCCCACATGAATATTGAAAGGAAAAACAAAATCTTCATTGTCAGGCAACACCCGATCAAAAACATCAACACTTGAAGAGCCTTAAATTTGGTGCTGCTTTAACTGCTGATCATCTCAGGTATGCAAAATGTGCTATTACAGTCCATAAGCAAAATGAGTTCTTTATTTTTCATTTTTTTTTCTTCATTTTACTTGAAACAGTTATCTGGCTGATACAATCTATAAAAAGCCTGTGATAGTATACAACTACCCAGAAGGAACCAAGCCATTTAATGTGCGCCTGAATGATGATGGGAAAACTGTGGCGGCATTTGATGTAGTTCTTCCAAAGGTTAGCACATGGGCATGTATATTGACTCTTGGGAGTATTTATTTTTGGTTGGATCATCCTGTATTGAATGAAAAATTGTTTCTTAAACTGGCACCCAACTGTTTGTAGGGTGGAGTAGTAATTTCTGGTAGCCAAAAGGAGGAGCGTTTAGATGTATTGATGAGAAGGTATGATATTTTACTATACATGTGTCATCGTCTTTACTTGCGATGTCGTCGTCAGCCGTACCGGGGTGCCTTGTCTTTACTTGAAAAATAGCACATGGCTTGAGTATAAATTGTTAAAACTATCATAGAGGTAGTTTTCAGCTTGGACAAAATTGAATGTGTAGTACTTCATTACACACGACCCACACGTGCGAGTTTTACTAGTTTTGCGACACTCCGAAAGTTTTCTAAACGCTCACGAAAAAGGGAGAGTTATTGATATCTGTTTTAATATGGTTGTTGGCAGGATGGGGGAGATGGGGCTGCCAAGGGAGCAGTACGAGTGGTACTTGGAGATCCATAGGCATGGAGCAGTGAATCACTCCGGTTTCAGTTTGGCATTCGATCGTTTCCTTCTGTTTACTACTGGTCTCACTGACATCAAAGATGTTATTCCATTTCCAAGAAGCTTTGGAAAGGCCCGCGATTAAAAAGAATCAATTGCTCTAAAATATTTTATGAAGCAGTTGGCTCAGATCAATGGTGATGCCGAAAAAAGTGTGTTAATGTAGAAAGCCCAAGGACAAATGGCATCTTTTAGGAGATTTGTGTTTGTTTATTGCTAAGATTTATTCTTGTACATAAAAAAAAACAGAAGAGATTTCTGGATAAGACTTATGGTTTGTCAAATCGGTTAGTTGTTTATATGGTTCTTTAACCCCTAATCGCTCTGCCTAGTTAAATATTCAAATCATTTATGACATTTTAGTTGTTAATATAGTATCCTAACCGCTATCACTTTTGACCCTTAGCTCTTAATGTTGCATCTCTTCCGAGACCAGGGTCATTTATCATGACTTCCGTTTGTTGCATACCTTGATTTGCTACTGCCCGAATAGCATTTCCTGCTGCGGTTTGAGCGGCAAATAGTGTCCCTCTTCTTGGACCTTTGAATCCACAAGTACCAGCGGAGGACCAAGAAATTACCTGACCCCGTACATTGGTAACAGTCACAATTGTATTGTTTAAACTTGCTTGAACATGAATAACACTCTTTTGATATTTTACGCGTACTTTTATGTGAAATAATACGTCCATTTCATCCTTGCTATGGATTTTGTCATATTTTATCTCTCACATAAATTTAATTAGAGATGAACCCTAACCAATTGAAGAGTGGATCAACTACTGAAGGAAAGGAAAAATTGTAATTTTTCATTGAAGCCCTAAATTATCCTGTTGAAAAAACATTTGGTGTAATTGGACCTAAATTTGACTAGCAAAAGCGTCAATGAAATAGTGGAGGGTGGTGGAGCGTCCTTCAAGACGAGCTGCAGTGTTGTAGTTTCTCAGTGCCTTGAATTGCGCACACATTGATTTCGATTTCATCAAACACAGAATCAAAGGTGGTTGGGTCCCAATTCAAGCACCGAAATCTTGAAATTCATGAACTCCCCGATAATCATGGCGTCTTTCTGTACTTCCTGTCATGAGTTTGGAGGTTTAGCAATTACCATCATCCGTTTCGCACAGTACAAAAACCTCAACTCTTAAGTTTTTCCTTCTTCATCTTCATCAATGGCGGCCGACGACGACCAGGGCGGCGAGGACTACTTGTTTAAGATTGTTCTGATTGGCGACTCTGCGGTGGGGAAATCGAACCTCCTCTCGCGGTTCGCTCGGAATGAGTTCGATAACAATTCCAAGGCCACGATCGGCGTCGAGTTTCAGACGCAAGTGGTGGAAATCGACGGCAAGGAGATCAAGGCTCAGATCTGGGACACCGCCGGCCAGGAGCGCTTTAGAGCTGTCACTTCGGCTTACTATCGCGGCGCCGTTGGCGCCCTTATTGTCTACGATATTAGCCGCCGGACTAGCTTCGACAGCGTCAAGCGGTGGCTCGACGAGCTCGGCGGTACGTTCTCTTCGAATCTGCATGGTTGCTTTACTTTTCTGTTTGTTTGCAGAAGCAATTTATGGAATTGAATCGAATTTCTTTCTTCGGTTCATTAGAATCTGCTGTTGGTTTGGTTTATTGATTCTTTGATTTGCGTGGAACTGTAAGAAACATGGAAATGGTAGAAAATCCACTGTTCTTGGTTATTCTACTACTTCTTGTAGGAAAGCTGGATTAGATTAGATCAAAAGGATGACCCAGTTGCTTTTGTTCTTGAGTAATTTGTAATAAACTAAAGAATTGAATAGTGGTGAGGCTTCCCAAATTCATACCAAAAAATAACAGTTTATCCCTGTGTAATGTTTGAAAACAGATTCAAAAAGATAAGGCAAGGACCTTGTTTCTTCTTCGCTCACAAGTCACTTCTAGTCAAATTTAGGACAAACTTCCTTGTTCTTCGGGCTGTTGGTGATGATGAAATTTGAACTTCAGTTTATGGCATGTGAAGTTATTAAAGAATAGCTGCTTGGTTTTTATAGGTCTATCATTGGAAGTGACAAGGTGTTGGTCACTGTTGATTCAATGATCCAAGAACTTTTTCTTTCAAATTTTGAATGGTATGCCTTTTGGGCTATCGACAATATCTGTTAGCAGTGGGCTTAGACTATTACAAATGGTATTAGAGTCAGGCATCGGGCGATGTGCCAGCGAGAAGACTGAGCCCCGAAGGGGTGGACACGTCGTGGTGTGCTAGCAAGGACACTGGCCCTCGAAGGGGACGGATTGAAGAGTCCCACATCGATGGGAAAAGAGAACAAGTGCCAGCGAGAACGCTGGGCCTTGAAGGGGGGTGGATTGTGAGATCCCACATCGATTGGGGAGGAGAACGAAACATTATTTATAAGGGTGTGAAAACTTCTTTTTGACGTGTTTTAAAAACTTTGAGGGAAAGCTCAAAGAGGACAATATTTGCTAGCGTTGAACTCTTATTCTTAGTTGAACAGGAAGAATTGACTAATGATATACTTTTTGAGTCTCTTCATATTTTCACGTCGATATAATATTGTCCGCTCGCATGGTTTGCCTCATGTTCTTAACACCCAATATAGTTGTTTCTCTTTACTTTGTATAGATTACATATACTTCTCTGTATCTAGATAGGAAAATAAAGCAAGCAAAAAACTCAAAACTGTTCCCTTCTGTCAACATATTCTCATACTTCATTGTCATTTGCAATTTATAAGATTATGAACTGAAGAAGCTTACTCTCCTGTTACCGTTTGCAGGTCATTGTGATACGGCAACGATAAGGATGTTGGTAGGGAACAAGTGTGATTTGGAGAACATCAGAGATGTGCATGTGGGGGAAGGCAAGTATCTAGCAGAAGAGGAAGGACTGTTCTTCATGGAAACCTCTGCTCTTGATTCCACCAATGTCAGAACAGCCTTTGAGCTTGTTGTTAGGGAGATTTACAACAATGTCAGCAGGAAAGCCCTCAACTCTGATTCTCACAAGGCCGAGCTTTCTGTAAATCGAGTAAGTTTGGCCGATGCGGGAGCCTCGTCCAAAAAAGGCTTCTCGTGTTGCTCTCAATGAGGTTCATGTTCTCCCTCCCAAATTTTTAGCTTAGAGAATTGTATCGGTCTCTAAAATTTAGGTTTCGAACCAATTCATTTTCAAACTTTCAATAGTTTTCGTATCTGAGAAAGTTCGAGAGTTTACTAGGAATCGTAAAGGGACTAGGAGAGTACTATTGTTCTTATCAATGCCCTGATGTGTCTCTTCAAGATTATCCATTCTAGATCAATTTAGATGAATTATTCCAAAAATAGAAATTAAAAGATAAATAAGTAATTGCAAATATTATGATAGAAAACTTAAATACCTGAAATTTTGCCACGCAAATGCTTATATAGTTAGAATATCCATAAAAATTAATTAAATTAATTGGTGATTTATAAATTTTTATGAAAATGTAATACTTGCATTTATTTTATTTTAACCCAATGTTTTTTTTTTTTTTTGAGGAAATGCATACTTTATAAATATTTTAGAAAATAAATTTAAAAATTGGGATAACCCAAATCAATCAATATTAAATAAATAAAAAATTAGTTAACCAACATCGGTATAGTTCAACTAACATGAAATATCTACGCCGAATAATTTTTAAATTATAATTTTCCGCTTTATTTATTCTTAAACTAAAAAAATGAAGGAAAAAATTTAATTATATTAAAATGGAGACATTATATAGATAAAATAGAAATGTATTTATGTTTATAATAAAAATATAGATTAATCTCTAATAAATATGGATGAAAATGTGTTTATTTATAAACCGATGATTATTTTTTAAATTAGGTCCTCTAAGTAACCTTTAATTAGGAAAATGGGCGTGGCATATTCTTCTACTAACGCACGCGATCCATCTCTTGGGTAGCCCCTTTAATCTTCCTCCTCTCAAGATTTTCAGCATAGAACTTCCACTGGTACCACATTGGCGACTTCCTCTTCCTGCCCAGTGAATCCGATTAGGGCTTTTGGATGGACCGAGTGCAGTCCTTTCAAAGCCGATTCGAGTCGTGGGTCAGAGATCAGCGCGACAAGGTCCTCAAGGTCTCTTGGGGCCCTCTGCAATGGAAAATGAGGTGGCCGTTCTGGAACTCCGACTACAGGGAGCAGAGGAAGAAGATTCAGCAACAGTACGAGCGGCGGAGGCAGCAACTTCATGACCTCTGCCTTGCTCTTAAGGCTGAGTCTGTTGCTGACCTGCAGGAGATTCTGTGTTGCATGGTTCTTTCCGAATGCGTTTACAAGGTATCGACAATCTGGAACGTCTTGTAATTCTTTGTTTGTTTGTTTGTTTATTTACATTTCGATGATTCTGGAAGTTTGGGAGAATGGAAGGGAACTTCATTATTTTCATTTCAGAAACGTTGTGTTCATGATGTTAATAGAAACTATAATGGTTCATACTGGAAAAGTGTGCCACAGGTGTTTGGCTGAGCGTGCTACTTGTGGAAGTTTATGTGAGGGAGTTTAAGTCAAAAGAATTTGGTCCTTTCCTTTATGATTGAACTTTCCCTTAAGCTTAGAGTGGTCGAGTGGTCGAGTACCTTTCCTTTATGATTTGTAGCTTCTTGCTGTTGTTTCTTTCTTTCTGTATGACACAATTATCTCCAATCTATATCTTCCATTTGTTAACTGATCTAAGAGCATCCTCCTTGCATAAAATGCCTAAATGAATGAACATTGTAGAGACCTGCGAGTGAGTTAGTTCGAGCTGTGAATAAATTCAAGGCCGACTTTGGAGAACAAGTTGTTTCTCTGGAACGTGTGCAACCATCTTCAGATCATGTTCCACACAGGTTTTCATTCTTTTATTGAATTCGTTTCAGAAATGTTTACTTCTGCTCCTGATAATTCTTCATATCACACACTCGGAACTCAAATCCTATCCATGGGGTGCTTCTAACTTCACTTTCCCATATGGATTTATACTATGCTTGATCTTCTAGGCTCCATTTTTTTGTAAGGAAAAAAAAAAAAATTGAGAAAAGTGATTTTAACGGTCCTATGCTTAACGTGAGTTTTAACTCATCTGAACTTCTCTTGTTCTATAATTGGATTGCTCACCAATAACTGGAAATGAATGAAACTCGCATAATATTCTTGTTACATGCTGTGTTTTTTTTTTATCCATCATTTTATTTAAGCTGGTGGGCTAGTAGATGGTTGAATCATTAGAGTTTTGTTGGGGGTGCTTATCAGGTTGTATCGTTGTTTTTAGGTATTTACTGGCAGAAGCTGGCGATACATTGTTTGCTTCATTCATTGGAACAAAGCAATACAAGTAAGTTGGGAAGTAGTTGATTCTCTTGCTGCTTGAGTCTACTTTAGAATTCATTGTGTCTGTGTGTGGAAACTTTTTTCTTCATTCTTTTTTTTTTTTTTTCCCTCTTCCCCCCTTCTTCGTTTTCTTTGTAACCTTTTGTTTTGCATAATGTAAGGGATGTGATGGCTGATGTGAATATACTACAAGGAGCAATATTCCATGAAGATGTGGTGGATGGTGTTGATGGGACCGATGTTTTGAATTCTGATGAAGATGAGAATCAAAAGGGAAAATTTGAGAGCTCATGGAATCCCCTCGAGTCAAAAACTAAGCAGCTAAAGAATAAATCCAAACCTGCTGCCCATCGGGTAACTAATTTTGTTGTACTCTTTTTTTGTCCAGCTTATGTGGAACCTAATTAGGAACTGTACAATTCTTTTAACCCCTATGTTACGAGATTTTGTTGGGTTTTCTGATTTTCACAGAACGTTTTCCTTTATGAGAAACAAATTTATTGATTAAAGTGATCAATAAAAGTGAAGTGAGGAAAATATATCCTCCAAATTTCCCAAGCCGTAGCAACAGACCTCTCCAACTTTCATTAGATTAGGAGAGTTATTGCAGAAGCTCTTAGTTAGGGCACTCTTATGAGGAGGTAATAAGACAAAGAAGATTCCAAAATCAGTATTATCAACAGCTGAGGGATCTTGTACTTCTGTTTAACTGAATTTTCTAAAGAGTAGCATTGAGCAAAATTCTTCAAAGAATTCTAGCTTTGCCTTTGAATGGACAGCTTGGACCAAAAAGAGGTTGATATTATATGGAGAAACAAAATAGAACCCAGATTATTGTTGATACGATTCTAATCTGTTGTAAAAGGATAACTAATGAAAAGGTCGTTAGCATTTTCTTCTCTGCTCCTGATCAGGGAGGCTAGTGCAAGATTCCTTACTATTTATAAATTTTTTAAAATTTAATTAATTTAAAATCTTAAATTATATTAAATAATTAGTTAATTTTGAAATTCTGGTCACAGGTTCCTATTCTGCCTTTAAACTAAGTTCAAATAATTTTTATAAAAATATTTTTTGAGTTTCCCCCCTCCGTATGTGCTTGCAAAACGCCTTATCCTTCATGTTATATCAATCCTCAGGGTTTCTTGGCTCGTGCCAATGGAATACCTGCTTTGGAGTTATACAGGCTTGCTCAAAAGAAGAAACAGAAACTTGTGCTATGTGGACACTCACTTGGTGGAGCTGTAAGCCCAGTTCTTATTTAGTTTTAGCAGTTGATTTTGTGTAGTGAACTGCACAACGTAACTCTTGTTGCTATCCTTCTTAGGTAGCAGTTTTAGCCACTCTTGCCATTCTTAGGGGTATTGCAGCCTCTTCTTCTCTAAAGGAGAGTGAAAAATTTCAAGTCAAATGTATTACTTTTTCCCAGCCTCCAGTTGGAAATGCAGCTTTGAGAGAGTATGTCTTCATATATGATTTGTCAGTTTCCTTTTTTTTTTAAAAACTAATTAAATTTTTAATTGTCACCTCAACATTTCCCCCTTTCAGTTATGTCAATAGGAAAGGCTGGCAGCATCATTTTAAGAGTTACTGCATTCCAGAAGATTTGGTCCCACGTTTATTGTCTCCTGCATATTTTCACCATTATAATGCCCAGCCTCTTAATGTGTCACCTGAGACTCGAGGCAATAATTTACTGACAAACAAACGTGAGGAAGGGACCGAGAAGCCAAAAGAGAAGGATGGGGAGCAGTTGGTTTTAGGTCTGGGCCCTGTACAGACTTCCTTCTGGAGGCTTTCGAAGCTCGTTCCTTTGGAAAGTGTTAGAAGGCAAGTTAATAAGTACAGAGAAAAACATAAGGCTCCTGTTGGGACATTTTCAGCATCAGATTCTGTTTCAACAGGCTTACTTGAAGATGATGTTGTTGAACCTCAATCTCTTGAAATCGAGGAGGGTTTGGATGGTATATCTCTGAAGCCAATTTCTGACTCCGATAGTTGTCCACCTGCAAATGTAAAATCTGCTAAAAAGAACGGGGTTGGTAGGAACTGGCGTAAAGTGCCTTATTTACCTTCATATGTTCCTTTTGGACAAGTACGTTTTCTTATTTTGCACGTAGTTATTTAATTACTTTCTTTGCCTACCTCTTTTCTTTACCAACTGATTTTTTGTTCCCTATTGTATACTTCTCTATTTCTTCATTGAAAGTTTTGTTTTAATTTTTTTTTTGTAAATTAAAACACAATTATTCTTATATTGCAGCTTTATCTCTTGGGGAATTCTACGGTTGAGTCACTCTCTGGAGCTGAATATTCAAAGCTGACTTCGGTATGTGTTTCTTATGCTTAACAATCAGATTTTCTTCCACATTTGAAACTTCTGTAGATTATTGATTTTTTTAGTAGCAGTTAGTTTGAGAAATTATTTGAATACCATGTGGGTTCTGTTTTGAATTTTCTCATGTTGTTTGCTTTCTTCTGGCAAAGGTATTTTCAGGTAAGTTCTGTAATTGCAGAACTACGGGAACGGTTCCAATCACACTCGATGAAATCATATAGATCACGATTCCTGAGGTAGTCAATCACTCTTTATTTGAAGCTTAGTTCTTATCATGTTTTAATTTCAATTTTTGAACCATCTTAATTTAATGAAATTCTTTGTTTAGACTACTATTTTGATTGGGATTTTTTTGTGGAATTATGTAAATGTTTTCTATGATAATAAAATGCGGCTCCAAGGTATCTAACGGGAGGGTAACTTATTTACATGCTTTGTGGTGCTTTTATTGTGTGCTTTCATAGTGATTTGTGTCATATTGGCTTTCTTAACCGAACTTTGTTAACCTTCTGAAATATATTTCACTGTTGCATGATTAAATTTTTCAATATTAGGTAAAGGTATTATTAGTTAATGATGTGAGAAGTCCTTCAGCCTCTTCT